ATGAGAGAGTAGGAACGGTTCAGCACAGCGTCTTTAAACTCAACAGAACAACTAAAACTGAGCGCCTGTGCCCCCAGTGACATCAGGTGTGCTGTGACATGCCCAGCGTGTAAGTCCTCAGGCCTAACCTATGAGTCTGAGTGATGTGATGACCGAGTCCCACTGGGTTATTGCTTGTTCCTCCTGTCGGGGGTGAGGGACAGTCCTTTCAACAGCAAAACTATTGGTGGTGGTTTTAAAAGTCATTTGTTACATACCTATGCTGAAGTGTTTAGGGACATAGTAGACCAATGTCTGCAGTTTCCTTTGAATGCATTAAAAAAAAGGTGGATCAAGAGATGAATTGTTGGAGAGCTGGGTGACCCAGCAAATAGAGCATAATTGTTTACTGCAGGTGATGGTGATGGTGTTCACTGTGTATTTATTTCAACTTTCCAGTATGTTCAAAATTTTTCATAATAAGATGTTGGGAGAAAACTTAATTCATTCAACATTTATTAAAATTTGATTATATTTGTCAAAATATTTATTATAGTATATTTACTGAAGTAACCTAGACATCAGGGTTATACTGCTGATAAGAAGACACGGTCCCTGTTGGTGCAGCACTCCCTGAGAGCAAGATGTGTTATCAGATAAGGACAAAACAGCACAGTGAGTGCAGCGATAGCTACACACAGATGCTTTGGGAACATCAAGAAGAACCTGCCACATTTGGCCATGTTTTTGTGTGTGGTGGTAGTGGTGGTGGTCAGGGAGGTCTTCCTGGAAGAGAGGTCAGCAGAACTCAGTCTTGAATGGCAACAGAATAGAAATTAGTTCAGGTAGTGAGGAAGGAAAGAATTCCATGAACAAACCTGAAGCATTTGCCGGGGCAGGAGATGGGCTGGGACCGGTCAGCTCTGGAGAGCTTGTGTTCCTTGCTGACTAGCTGAGCTTGCTCCTATAGGGGTAGAAATAGCTGAAGATAAGAAGGTGATCGACAGGGTGCAATTTGCTTTTAGCTGGATCTCTAGATGGCTGACTGGAGAGTGCACCTGCGGGGCCAGACCTGGAGGTCAGGTGGGCACCTGTGCAGGTGTTCTGGTCAGAAGCTGCACACATGGTAGGAGGGCTGCAGGTAAGGGAACAGATCTGAGGGGCATTTTACGTAGAGTTGGGGAACTGGAGATGGGAAACATGAAGGACAGGCAAGCACATTGCTCACTGCTAGAGGGGTTGTGCAGGAGAGATGATGGACTCAGCTTGAACATTTTGAATGTGAGGTGTCTGTGGGACACCCAAGAGGAGCTGCCCAATTGGCAGCCAGAAGAATAAAACTGAAACTTAGGAAAGAGGTTCATAGGCTGATTTGGCATTAAAATAATGGACTTTGAGTCTGCAGTTGAGATTAACAAGGGAGAGTATGCAGAGTACGTAACCAAAGGCACGGGATTTCCAATACCTGGAACAGTGTCTGCCTCACAGGAAGTGGTGATGAATGTGAATGAAAGTGGGCAGAACCCTGGGACAGACATTCAAGGATGGGCTGAGGAAGGGAAGCTGATACAGGTGCCAGGACCAACCAGAGTGTAGAGAAGATTAAAGGGCATGTTTGACAGGGAAGGGCTTCAGGAAAGGGAGGAGGGTACAAATAAAAGATGAGGACTAAAATTTGTTCTTGGGTTCAACAGGTGTCGGTGCAGCCACTATGGAGCACAGTATGGAGGTCCTTAAAAAACTAAAAACAGACTTACCCTATGACCCAGCAATCCCACTCGTGGGCATATATCTGGAGAAAACTATAATTCAAAAAGACACATACACCCCAATGTTCACAGCGGCACTATTTACAATAGCCAAGACATGGAAGTAATCCAAATGTCTGTCAACAGATGACTGGATAAAGAAGATGTGGTGTACACACACACACACACACACACACACACACACACACAGGAATATTACTCAGTCATAAAAAAGAATGAAATAATGCCATTTACAGCAACATAGGTGGATCTGGAGGTCATCATACTAAGTGAAGTAAGTCAGACAGAGAAAAATATCATATAATATCACTTATATGTGGAATCTAAAAAAATAATACAAATCTTATTTACACACTAAAAACAGATTCACGAACATAGAAGACAAACTATGGTTACTGAAAGGTAAAGGGCAGGGGAGGAATAAATTAGGAGCTGGGGATTAACAGACACATACTACTATGTGTGAAATAAATAAGGATGTACTGTATAGCACAGGGAACTGTATTCAATTTCTTGTAATAATATATAATGGAAAAGAATCTGAAAAAAAAAGTATGTATATGTATAACTGAATTGCTTTGCTGTATGCTTGAAACTAACATTGTAAATCAACTACGCTTCAATAAAATTTCTTTTAAAAAACAGTTGGGAGGTCATTGGTGACCAAGGGACTTCTGCAGAGTGGTGAGTATCATGGGGCAATATGGCACAAGGGTGAGGAGAGGAGGCAGCAGAGAGATTTGAGGAAATGTGACACACTGCCCTCACTGGAGCACCCTGGTCTGGATCAAGGACAACGGGAGGGCTTTAACTTTTTATCACACCCATAATTTCTTGAAAAATGATATATACTTACTGCTGTGATTTGTTATCAAATTAAATCACAGTTCATAAATAAATAGAGGGAGAAAACTCTACTTCAATTATGACTGTATTCCTGTGGTCAAGTAACACCAGCCCAGCGTTTAACACAATTTTTAAATTAATTCAGACATTTATTTAATGACTGCTCTGTTTTTAGTCGCTGGGCTAGCCTGAGCAGAAGGTACTAGTAGAAAGAGAGAAGCTGAAACCATTGGAGAAGGATGCCTGGACAATCAGATGCCTGGCGGGGCAAACAAGGCCCCAGGAAGAAGGGACTGGCCGTGAGCGTGAGCAGAAACATCACGATGGCTGCTGAGTAAAACGGAGCGCACATCGGGGCGAGGAGATCAAGGAGACCAATTGTCGGGGTCCAGCAAGAAGGAGGAGACATGGTCTTCTGCGGGAAAGGAAGTTGATTAGGGGCAGGTGTTGCTCCGGCAGCTTCAACAAAGTGAAAAAGGTCTGGAATAGTCACTGAGGAGCGGGAACAGGGCAGGAACATGATAAATTAAAGTCGTTGTTTGCATACACACAACAGGTTTCTCATCAAAGCGCAAGCTCCCTGAGGGCGATGTGGCCCTTCTCTGCCCTCTTGGGCACTTGACTCAAGGGATGAAGACCGGAAGGCATTTTGAAAGCTCCTACTTGATGTTTCTATTCATTTTGAGAACTATATATTATTGACTCACCATTTTAAAAAACGTGGGCGAAAGTGAACTTTAAGGCCATTTAAGAGTTTTTACAAAAAATTAGAATTCTCAAGAAAAGGTGTGACATTAATTTTAGAAAATAATTTTGAAGTCAGGAGACCCTATCCAATTAGTTCTTCAAGATGTGTCAATCAAGGGCATACTTGTCAAAGTTTTGATAGTCCAAGTTTTATCCTCCAATGGTGGGGCAGGATTCTCCTCATAGCTGGTTTCCTATTGGTTCTGAGATGTGGGCGGGGTCAGCCATTTCTGGTTCTGCCACTAGCTCCACCCCATCCCATGCAAATGAAGTCAAAGCTTTGGTGAATCCACGTGATTGGTCACGTGGGGGTACGACAACTCGCTCCACCCCCTCCATTGACGTCATCACCTACTCAAACTCTCACGAGAGTTTGCACAGATGCTGGTCAGAGGTTAGCAGGCCAGTCCACTGTGGCAGGAGGGGGTCGGGTAGGGGCTCTAACACTGGACCCCCATTCCCATTG